ACGAATTGGGAACCTCCTCCTTTTAAAGTCGGTTCAAAAAGACTGCTATGGCAGCGAATTGTAATGTTCACTTATTGTATAGTGTTTTATTTTTATTTATTTATTTATTTTTTTAAAAACATTGCCCTTACTATAGGATAAATTTATCCTGTGTTGCAAGGGCGTTTTACAAACATAAATTTCACGCGGACAAACACCCAGATGCGATGCGCGGAGAAACAACTATCTGTGGGTCACACAAATAGTTGTCCCGTGTGGGGATCGAACCCACGACCCCCGACGCCGAAGCCAATACCTTGGCAACTGCGCCACGGAGTCATCACATTAGTTTTCATTTATATTTCATTAGTGTAAACACCAAGGCTTCTAAAGCTCACGTCTACTAGCTACGCTGTCTTTAAACGTAAGTACTTACGTTAAGTTCATAAATGTAACGTGTAGTGGAAGACGCACCTCACTGCTTACTTATGTCTTTTTACTTTTACTTTATCTGATGATTTTGCTTTAAGTTCGTAGACTATTAAAGCTTCATTGAACGTGGAACTGGGCTGGCCAGAAACCAATAGCTTGGTAAGGCCTACGTTGGTTAGAGCCGCGCATGTGCTCATACGTATATTATCTTAAACTGTTGGTATGGGCCGTAGGTTACATCGAGGTCCGATACGGACTATGACCCCGATGGCCGATGACTGTATTAATCAGTGTCTGAGGGCAGTGAGAACGGCCCTGGAACACTCATATGGCTTATTCTAAACGGCTCAGTTGAAATTAAATTAATTAAGTTTTGTTAGGGTTTTCTTAAACAATACAACGGAGTTGTATATTTAGTAAAGTACACATCGATTTAAGCATAATGCACAAATTTATTAGTGTACTTATATAAAAATATTGAAGGCAAACGAAATGAGTTTGTCATTGCGTACCCGTTGTTAGACTACAATGTTACTTATAATAATATTCGGCATTTTCAAAAGCTGTGAGTCCACCAGTTACTCAAAGCTTTTGAAAATGTCACAACTTCTTCTAATTAATAAGATGTATTTGTGTTTTATAAGAGACGTGTAAGGAAAGACGCAGGCATACTTGATGACCACCACCATTGCTATTGCAGTGATGAGGCCAACCTTCACGAAGCTATACTGGCTGTATCACCCACCAGAAGAAATGCGAACGAATATAAAGAACGATACCTTTTTTCAAATGCTCTTTGCTTTCTAAATTTATTGAAATACTTATTCCGTACTTGTATCGTTAGTTCTTATTGAAATTTGAATTTATGTTTACATGCGCAGTACAAATCATCAACTAGATTTTCTGCAAATATCTACCTTTTTTGGATTTTTTTAGAATTTATATCAGAATGAAAAAGTTGTCCCCTAGTTGTAGGTATGAGGAGATGTTACTCATTTGCTCATACCTGTCTTAAAGGAAGTAGGTCAGTAGTCGCTCAGAAAGACCGATACTATAGCAATTTTCACACCCTTAATTGTTAAATGAATATAACACTACCTATTCGCTTATTAAATTAAGTTTATTAAAGTTTTAAGTTGCGACTCTCAAATAAATTAAGTTCGATCTGCGAGTGCATTTTGATTTACCAGCAAATTAGTAACAAGTACTAGACTAGGTTATTAAACATCTGGGTAAATGTGTTTTAACTAACAATTAGAAGAGGTAGGGGGCAACGCTGTATTTTTTGTGCAACGAAGCGTCGCGCTTGACCATCGAATCAATCTCACAGAAGTCTCTAATAAAGAAGTATTTACACTTTTCTTCCCGTAAGTGAGGTAACTTGCTTATGGAAAGTTGGCAAAAGCAGACAGCCGATTAACCTGATGTTAAGGATCACCGCCGAGAATGGACATCTAGATAACGTTGGTTGCAGATACATTAATTAAAAAAGTGGATACCAATTACTTCACTAGTTAGATGAAATACACAGTATACTCCTTCCACTTTACGTTGTTCTTCTGTGAGGAAGTGGTACTTTTGAAAGTTATGCAGGCTTTAGCAAATTGACTTGTTGGATTTTGGCAATGAATATTCACAAATTTCTAAATGTTGCAGATACTTTGCCGGTTGGAAACGTATCTGCTTTAAAAAAATCAAAAGTATGCCCCAGTTGCCTCACTTGCCTGCCTAGTAGCATATATAATATGGAACAAGTCATTTTTTTATTGAGAAAAACTAAACCGACTTTAAATATCTCGCTCTGTATTCCATATTATAATTGATTTTCAGGAGTTCCCTACGTATCTCATGAGCCCAAGATCCAATACCAATGAAATTAATATGGAATAACATGGGAAGCAACAGCTTTTGAATAAAAAAAAAGAATCAACAAAATCGGTTCCCTTAGTAAAAAGTTCTAAGGTAACAAACGTAAAAAAAAATACAGTCGAATTGAGAACCTCCTCTGGTTCAGCTTTGTTATTAACTACTTCTGTATTTATCCTTCGAAATGAGGCCGGCACAATATGTGAATGATGTTGTTAGTAGTCTTGGCTAAATTGTTTTACAACCAACATACTCGGGAACATACAACCTGACACGGAACATTTATCTATGGGTCACATCGTGGAATCGAACCGACGTCCCTCGGCGCCGAAGGTAATAGCTTAGCAAGTGTTACCGAGTCATCAACAAATGTAATTGTAAGTTTTAATAAGAACATTATTATTATATAAAGTCCTTATGTTGCACAATAACCTGCACGGTTCTTACACAAGTATGCACACTCTCATTCACAGTTATGAAAGAGCATACAAGTAATGCCGCCTGCGTAAAGCCATTTACATGATGCCAGTTTCTTGCCTGTTGTATACAATTAAATTGAAGCAATAAATGAGTTGCATGGTCTAAACAACAAATGGTCTAAACAATTATTGCGCGCAATTTATTGCATTCAATTATTGCTCTTGTATGTTCAAGAAAATGGCATCGTGTAAATGGGCCTTAAGTCTCTTGTCTATGAAATGATTAAAGCTTGACTATGAACTCTTATTTTAAATTATTGTGCGGGATGGAAAGACAGACTTGGCGATTTATTTCACTCCTTTCACCGGTTAAAACCGGTGAAATGATTTTCTTTCTACAAGTCTGTAAAACGTTGACAGCAAAAGTATAAATGGTTGTTTCCGATGAAACAGTGAGAGATGAAGGTAAGAATTAAATCATTGTAATTTGCGCGCATTTTAAACTGACTTCAAAAAAAGAGAAGATGCTCAATTCCATTGTACATTTTTTTATGTTATTACTTGAGAACTCTATAATGATATATGAATCGATTTTATAAATTCTTTTTGCATTGGTTTCAATTTAGCTCCCATGTGATCCCATATTAACCTAGGACTCCGGAGGTACTTCAGAGAATTTCAAAACCATTAATTAATAATCGAATAGTGAGTGAGATATTTGAAGACGATTTTGTTTTGATACTAAAATTATTTTACTTGTGAAATGTGTACTACATAAAATTGAGGAGTTTCAGTTACTCTCGGCCACTGAAGCTCTAAGACTGAACTGATCGGTTTCCAATAAGGATAATTGTCTAAAACATGTTCTAAAGGATAAATTGAATTGATCAGTTAAATTGATCGAATAGAATTGATAGTTTCTATTTAAGAGACATGACCTTTAAGAGTTGTTAAATAAAACCATTTTTCCGATCTTTTCGCGTTGAATTACGATATTACTCCTGCCTGACGCTTCGAAACTTTCGCAGCATCAGTGGTCAGGGAAAAGGCAACAAACAGAACCACAGACAGAACTGTGGTAGGGCCACGCAACAGTTTTCGCTGTTGCACGAATGGGCAAGTCCGTCCGGGTTAGTACCTCACAGTGTCAGAAGACCTAGACTATGAAGTGTTATACTTTGCGTTTTGTCTGGCGAGTGGAGGCAACGCATATACGGGTGTTGCAAATGTCCATGTGCGGCGGTTATCACTAACGTCAACAGTCAGATAAAAAAACAGCATAATTTTATTGAACAAAAGGCAGTATTCTCGTTTATAAAATAATTAATTAATGAGATTCAAGAAACTTTAAGAGGTTGAAACTAAATAGAACGCTAACGACTAAAAAACTGACAATTATTTCTTTTAAGTACTCGATGTATTTTATTAACTTAAAGGGTACCTACAGTTAAAACCCCTCGGGGATGTGAGTTCATCACGACCATGACTCCTTGTTTTTTATTCGTACGAGGTAGGTAAGTCATATGACTCTTTTGTCCATAGGGAGAAGGGAGAATGGCTACTTTGTGCTTTGCAACGTTTGTATGGTCGTATCTCTAGGGAACTCCTCAGTTTTGGGCAACTAAATGGGGTAACTTTACAACGGAGAAACCAGCTTTATACTGCAGATTCATGTATGCTTCTGTTTTGTACGATATCATTTACGGCGAATTAAGAACGTTTTCGATAAGGATGAGTTTTAATTTGACAAATCAATGTGTTATGCTAGTATGCTATAGCTGTGTATAAAATAAACTTCCAGAGCAAAATTGTTAAGAATGTTTATATACTTAACACTTTAAACAAGTAATAATTATTTGTCACTTGTTTAAAGCGTGAATTATCGTTTTATTAATGAAATCGTGTATTAACGTTTTAAGCTTATAGTAGACAAAATTCTTTTTATTGTTTTATATAGATAGGGCTCAATGACTGCTAATTATCAATTGTTTTTCACAAAATAACTGACAATATGTTCACTCTCTGGAACTGTGGTAGAGCCACGTAACAGTCAATGCTGTTGCACGAATGGGCAGATCCGTTCAGGTAAGCACGATCTCACAGAAGACCGGCGTGAAGTGGAAGTGTTATTATATTTCTGCGTTTCGTTCGGTGAGTGAGGTAGCCGGGGTCCACTTTATTAAAAGGCTGCAACGTATCTACAACTCTACGGGTGTTGCGAAAGTCCATGCACAGCAGGTGATCACTTAAACATCAGGTGAACTGCCAGTTCGCTTACCACTTTCTCGCATAAAATAATCTTACCCTGAGTATTATCTTCTGCACCATCACTTTCGACTTCACTGCCTACACTCAACGGGCTCTCTCTTCTCTCTTCCTCTCTGCTCTCCGTGGTCGCGCTCTGCGTGGCGACACTGGAACCCAGCACCCGGGACAACCATGGCTCCGGATAACCGAGCAGAAACGGGAAACTGACTCCGGCCTGATGCAGAAACGGCGCGTTCAAGTAATACCGCATTCGGTTTAATTCCTCCGTCCGAACGGGCTCATCGTCCTCTGAATTCTTCGAACTCTCCGATAGGCTGTTTTCTATATCGATCTCGGGGGATTTTCTTTCCGTATTACCGATTATAGATTCGATCGAGAAGGGTTTTGGCGCCTTTTTCTTGGTCTGCATATCGCTCACTTCCGATTCCATTTCACTCACTTTAAAAAAAAAAGAAAAATATTGCTTTATATTATTGCTTTCTGTTGTAAGTCTATCGGTTCTATTCTATTTTTGTAGTATCACTGACACTGACGTCTTTTTTTTTTTATTGGCGGCGAACTGTATTTAGTTTTCGAACGCGCGGCGCGTGCGTCCGCGGCCGCATCGTAGTGATGTACTCGCATACTTCGGCGTTCGACCGCGCCACGCCCACGTACGGGGTGTTCTCGCGGCGTCATTCTATTTTACTAATACGACGGCGGCGGTTCGGCAAGCGAACGTAAGCTTTATTACCAACGTCGTAACACCAATCCTGTTATTTCAATCACTTCTATGTACAGAGCTTAAACGGTAAAGCTTTCTTGGGCGAAATCAAATCGTATCGCATTAAGCTAAGTCACAGTTTTGTTCGATAGACATGCTATTATTAACATGTTACTAAAACGTTCCAAATTGCACTTTACACTTCAGTCAGAAAGTTGATTATTGCATTTTACAATAACATACTTTAAACGTTTTGTTTACGAGTTAAATCCCATTCGAGTTACTTTAATGTAGAGTATAACAAAGACAGGACAGAGTTAGATCTTAAGTAGGAGCGAGAGGGCAATATTGATCTTTGTCGACGCTAAAGTATCAGGATAATTGGTGGTGATCAGAATGTTTTGCCAGTGTCAGCGTTACAAATTCATTGTTTGATGCTCTGTTCAAAAGGTCGTGTAAAAATGTAAATAAAAGTATTGAATACTGTTAATTATAATTACTTTTTGTTTATTTATTTTCATGTAACATGAACCATAAAAAAGTAAAGTGTTAAGGGTTGAGAATACTAAAAAATATGTATACGAATTCTTCAAGGCGCTTTATAAGATTTTTATATTTGCAATTTGTAGGTACTTGACAATGTAAACAATATCAAATTCAAAATTTTATTAATTTTATGTAGGTTCAGCTTTGAAAAAAAAAACAATAAACATTTACAATCTGTTGATATGACCTAAAAAACCAATGTGTTATAAATGTAATTCTTTCTATACCTACCTCTTAATACATGGTATAATAGTCCTAATAGTTTAGATTTGACCGATGTACGCTTTTCAAATTCAGTTTGTTTTTATTATCGGATTTAGTTTTTACTATCGCATTTTAAACAGTGTTTAAATCTTTCTAAACTGCCTTCCACTGTACTAGTAAGTGTCAATGCAGCATCGGCAGCTCAGCGGACATGCTCAGCTGATGGTCATTAGAGAGCAATCTTCCTCTCCCCGCTATTACTTAAGCCCCCCACCCTCCAGGCCAGCCCAAATTGATTGTAGCCATTTTCTTTGCTGCTGGTGGTTTGTCATTGGGAATATCGTTCTCCTTTAATATTTTTTTATCGAGTAAAACTTTGTATTTTGTAAGTATATTATTGTCTATAGTTGATTTATCAATTCTATTTTCGTAAACATAAGTGCATGCATCTAATAGGTAGTCTTTTCGTTACGAAGAAGAGTCATATTCATAAAAATGAAATGAAAATTTACAACATATATATTGTTGTTTGTCTAAAGTTAAATAAAGTATTATATGCAAAATTGAACTGTAAAGTTTATTTAAATCGAAATTTATTTACAAAATAGATGAATATTACCTGTATTATAAGTTTTCTAACACTTCTAGCTCACGCGCTATGGTGCCAAGAATGCAAGCTACATTCCTCGTTTAATGATTGAACTAGTAATTTTACGAGACAATAATAGGATTATTCACCAGTCGCTTGCCTTCGTTCTACATTAAGATACTCATTATTACGTCATTTACTTAAGGCATGTCAAGTAAAGTATATTATTGTAAAGTTTCATTAAAATCTATTCAGTAGTTTTTGCGTGAAAGAGTAACAAACATCCATCCATAATCCATACATACAAACTTTTGCGTTTATATATTAGTAAGGATTTGTTCGTACTAGTCTTCACCAAAAGGTCGAAATTCGACCATATTCATTTTAAAAAATATAATGAAACATATAGTAATAACATGTTTTATCATTGAAAAATATAATAACATCTTTTTTTTTCATGTACATTCGTTCATGATATAATTTCACTATTTAATACCTTAGCTTTCATGAAGTATATTATCTACTTTGTGATATAGTATCTACCCAATAGGTATTACGTTGCATATCGAGAAACACTCAATGCACTGTTGCATACAAAAGTTGTATTTAATTCTAAGCAGAAAAAATAGTACATCTTTTACATGTTGCTGTTAGTACATCTACTTACTGTTTAGTTATTATCGATAATAACAAACTTAGTTTCATCTAAAATAAAGAATCTTTAGAAAACACAAAAATTAGAAAAATGTTATGGGAAAAGCGATACAAATTTTTTAAATATATTGTTGGTTCTTTAGCGTCTTTAGCAGCTCTGAAGAACTGGTTCCGCCCATCCCAATTAGCATAGTCGTAAACTTGTCATCGTCTCGGGAATTCGCTAAAAGCAGACGCTAAGTTATGGCCGACGCTGTCACTTGACATCTTGCCTTACAGTCCAGTCTCGTCCAAAGTTCTCACGTCTGATCGAACCTTCTCGAATTAGCCTCCCAAATAGACTCCGCGAACGGAATCTCCTATTATTCGATGGCGATAAAATAAAAACAATAGATCGTTATCGCTAATAGAAATGATAGAAGAACCAGCCGCAGCTCCTATAGGAATATGACCCAATGCTTTGTGTGTGCAGACATTGACTGTAGGTACTAACAGAGCTGTAGCTTTTAACACAATAATTTTAAATTTAATAAAGCTCAAGCGACTTTATTAATTTGATTATACATTTCCCAAGTATTATCATATGTACTTAATATCCACTTAATACTAAGCTAAATATGCAATTAAATAAAGGATGGAAAGTAATTCAATTCACCTTTCAATTTTTATGAAATTGTATTCATGTATATTTTTAATATATCTTTGTCATAATTACTCTATTACAAAAAATAGTCGTGGCTGCTACCAATTATTCAAATTACGACAATACTCTATTTATAATGCAACAAAATGTGGAAGCCCAGACAAGATATAAATGACAAAGCAGCCTAAATCCTACGACGTACAAATTTCCCAACAAATTCCATTTCCAGCCATTAATCTCTGAATACACGCAGCGCCATTAACGCACCCCCACATAAATCCTACATAATAGAATCAACTTATTCATAACAACGTTAATATGACCATAAAATTAAATATTAAAACACTCTGTGAACGCTCCGCTCAACGATCCGGGCAAATTGCTTCTCATAATCAAATTATCGACATCCCTTTTCTTCAGAGCTGCTAACCTTCGGGCGAAAGAGACGACAGCATTTTTGTTGTTTCACATGGTCGTAAGTAATGAGCGCGGTCACTCCCAGTAATCATGTCGCCTAACTCTCATTGGTCGGGTTTAATAGGGTTTGAAGTTTTGAACGAACACATTTTTATTCTCGAGTAATTTTCGTTCATTAACGTTTCGAGGCGATGAGCCGCACGCATTAGGCCACCGCGTGTTTATGAATCTTTGGTGACTTTAGCGTTAGCTTATTTTATACATTCAAGATAAAAAAATGTAACTTAATTCATAAAACCGTTTATAGTTTAGAGTAAAACTGTAAAGAAGACTAGGTAATTTTAGCTTTATTGTATATTTTGACCAAAAACGCTTCGGATTTATCTAATAATTTATTTTTATCAAATTAAGTAAGTTAATAAACCAATTAATCTTCTGTAGTAAATGATACTGGTAGAAAACGTGAAAAATAAATTAAAACAATACTAAATATTACTTAGTTTATTCAAAATAGGTTATATGAAGAAACATTAAGATTCTATAAAAATGGGGTTAAAACAAATAATCCTATAAAAATATTATAATGACACTTTTAACACATGACAAGATTTGATTTTAGTGCGACACATTTTTGCGCCCTTAGTTATGGCTGTCAAAACCGTCAAAAGACGACGTATATTTCAAAATCGGGTGTGCGATATTGTTCTGATCCCCAAAATTATGCTGCTTCTAAAATTAAGTAAATTATAGTAAAATGTACTCTATAAACATAAACGTAAGAGTGTTTCGGATATTTACTTAAATGAGAATTAACTTTGTAGGATTCATTAGCGTTAGTCACGCGCTGTAAGTGCGTTCAAGTAGTGGTGTGACATGACGCGACGCGGGATTCGACACAGGGGAATGGCGAATTTGAATTTGGAATGGCGGCGCTTCCGTTTTATTTTTAATGTGATTTGTTTGTTAATGCCATCATTCATTCCAAATTGTCTAATTCATGGAGCATGGGCATTCCTTTTTAACAATTTTAAAACTTTTGGTTTATATTCGACTTAAGTAAATGTTTTGAAATAAATCACAGTTATCTTTCGAAGTGTTGATTGTGCAACATTTTCTATATTCATTTGTATTATTTTTTCAATGAAAAATATTTTTAAACGTTAACGTTAACGTTAAGAAAGTTAAAATTAATGGACACGCCTACTTTTCATTAAAAAATAATTGAAATAAAAATTGAGCCATGATAGTATGATAGCTCAGTGTCTGGGAGCTCGCTTTTAATTCAATGTACTCGCGCAACCTGAGTTCAAATCCCGGTGCCAGCACCGATAAAATTGTTAATTTTAAGTGCTGACTTATCACAGACTCAGCGGTGAAGGCGTCGTGAGGAAAACTGCATAGTTTTGAAATAGTAAAAAAAATATTTTCGAAGATATGTGAAGCGCGACAATAAGCAGTGGGTTTGCGTGGCGGACTATGCCCTCTGTAGGCTACTCTTTACTTTGCCCAAAGTAAAAAGTAAAGTAACAGCCTATACATGTCCCACTGCTGGGCAAAGGCCTCATCTATACAGAGGGTATCAGGGCGTAGTCCAGTACGCGGCCCCACAACCTGATGTGACTTCACATATCTTCGAATATTTTTTGTTATTATTTCGAAAATATAAAGGTTTGCTCACGATGTTTCCTTCACCGCAGAGCACGTGATAAGTCACCACTTAAAATCAACAGTTTCATTGGTTCCGGCACCGGGGATCGAACTCAGATTGCTCGAGTATCACGGCTCTGCCTAGCAGTAGGTTGTATGATGTTATATATTCAAAGAGGTTACCACACCTAATTAACATAAAATTATTTCAGAACATACTA